TACCCACATATCAATTAATGCATTGTTTATAAAGATATTATTAAGATATGATTCTGGAATTTGTTCAGATATTGATTTTGATATTGAATATATTCCAAGAGTAGAACATGCATTGATTAATAAGACACAAACTGATGGATTTAATTGAATTTGATTTATTTTCATTTGTTCATATAATTCGAATATTTTTTGTGGTTGATTATTTTTATTAAATGCACTCATTAAATTTCCATAGCTAATTGTATTTTGTGGAAGTTTTGAAAAAATTCTTTCAGCATTTGGTAAATCCTTACATTTAATAAAAACATCGAAAGCAGTTGTTAAAATATATTCATCATTTTGATAACGATCTGGAAGATTAGATAAAACTTGTTTTACTAAATTTAATGTTTCTTCAGTTGCAAGTCGAGCACATGCATTAAATAATAATGAAATATTTTTTTCATCTGGATTTGTAATTTGAAAGAAAATGTCGATTGCTTTTTGTGCCATATTATTTTTAATATATCCTATTTTGTTAAAATAAATAAAATTTAATATTTTAATTAATAAACAATATTGTTACCTTTCATCATTGCTCCATAAATACCAACTGTTTTATTTTTTAATTTATCAAAAAGTATTTGAGCATGATTAACATCTCCTAGTTGCACTAAATATTCGATAAGATCTAATTCAATTTCGATTCAATGTTAATTACTGTAAAAATGAATAAGTGATGATAATGAATATTTATTTTTTTCTATTAGAGATGAATATCGTTGATGAAGAATTAAACCAGATTGAAAATCTTTCATATTTGTACAAGATTTTAATGCTTGACTTACAGCTGCACCTGAAATCATTCCATGATTTGATTTTTCACATTCATAAAATAATTTCAATGCGTTTTGGAATTGTTTTTTATCATTGAATTTTTTCATTTCACTAATTAAATCATAATATGATCGGATAAGAGAGATTCTTGTTTGAATATTTGCATAAAGCAATCCGAAATTACGATGTGAAAATATTCTTAACATCTGAAAAACTTTTGTTCAATTGAAAAAAAAAAGTTTTTGAATCTAATATAATAATTTATCTATTTGTTAAAATATCAAACAAATTATAAACTAAATGATTTTATGTTTCAAGTAGATGTCACTTAAAGACATCATAATAAATGAACGAAGTATAGATAGATAGTAATGACAAATATTCTCTAGATTTGATTATTTGAAATCGATTGTTCAGAAGAAATATCTTTATAGTTTGATTGAAGATGAGGATATTTAAATTTTTGATATAGTTTGTCAATGAGTATAGATGGATTGAAGAGAACTGAATATTGTATTCACTTTTATCCACGTTCATATCTTTTCATTTCTACATCCACACCCTCACGAATTTTTCTACAAAAATAAATTAATATTAGAATTGAACATTTCACATGAAATAATTGTCATTTATATAATTAAAATTCATTTATTAATTATCAGATTCTATATGTTTATCCACTGATTATAAAAAAGTTAGGATTAGTAAATTAGATTGGACTTTTTCACGTTTAGAGATAAGAGTCATGAGATCTTTTTTATTAATTTATATAATTTCCTAGTTTGAAATTGTTTCTATTGTAATCTTACTCTTAATACATAGAAGTTGATATATGAAAATATCCTTCTAATAATAATTAAAACACATTCGAAATAAAATAAAATAAAGTTCTCTAGAAAAATATACTATGAGTTTTTGTTTTTTATTTGCAAATTATAAGTTTGGGAAAAAAACCAACCGAGAAAGAAATGAAACTACATCAAATGGTAATGATAACAATATTATGATGCGAAAAAGTGTAATTTTTAATTTATTAAATGTTAATAAAATTATCTGAAACGAAATTTACGAGCTAAAGTTTTAAATAAAAAATTATTTACTCTAAAACTCTATTGGAGAAAAAAAATCATTGGCTAAATTGAAATAAACAATTATTCAGGTATACTCTGTTCTGTTACTGATTCATCGTTATTAAGCAGGAGTTGCAAGTATCCATGACTAAGTATATACTTTTTTCTGTTTTCATAAGCATAATGTTACTCGATAAAGTGTAGTTAGTTTCTTCTTTTCTTTTATCTATGTCTTTTATGAGAGTAACTTTTTATTATTGTTATAAATAACAAATAACAATAATCGTTTTTGCTATAGTTATTATTATTTATAATAGAATAATAAGTACAACTTTCCATCCCTAGTCAATATGCTAAAATTGAACGACATTAAATTTTACATGCCGCTACTATCGACCAATTGAAATCCTCCCATTAGAAGTTTTCTATGGATTTTGTTTTTTTTATTTGTAATAAAAAATATTTGAATATGAAAATAAATATGATTAAGAGTTTAACATAGTCTAATACAAAATGTACGTATCTATTTTATATTAACATTGATATTTACACAAACATTTGTTTATATTTAGAAATTTGAACTTTATTTATAATAATGCAATAATATCAATCAAATTTTATCCGAATGTTTATTTACTGATTATTTGCATGATGAGAAACTATTCTGAGTTGGAACCTAAATTAATTTCAAGAAGTTTTATACAATTCATCATCTTTCAAAAAATGGCTATTTGTACATCAAAAATATTTATCGAATAATAATTTTATATTTATTTAGTGGAACGGATTTCTTCCAAAAAAGACAAATGATTCGTTTATCTATTATAGAATTAAATTCAAATTTAAAAATAATATGAATGCATTGGTATAATATTCTAATTGGAATCTAAAACTAGAAATAGTTTCAAGTTTTCATTGAAAGAAGTAGACGGATTTTATCATAATGCCTTAATTGGCAAATCTAAATATTGAAATAATATTTTTGATAAAAATGACAATTTGTCTGATGATAATATAATGGACATGACTAATTATAAAAATTTCAAGTTTAGAAAGTAAGTAAAAATTAAATAAATTCTTATATAGTAAGAATATGAATGATTTCAACATGATATTTAAAAGTTACATTTCAACTTTTTTTTCCTTGATAAACTATATCGAATAACGTTTTTTTATTAACTTTTCAGATCTAAAATATTTTGAAAAAATATTATTAACCAAATATAAACAATTTATTATTTCAAGCATGTCTAATAACCAATCGAATAACATAGATAATGATGACGATGATGTTCCAATGTCGATCGAAGAAACCGATCAAACATTGGATGTTTCAATGTCAGTCGAAGAAACTGATCAGACACCTGATGTTCCAGTCTTCGCACAAAATCAAACCCTCGAACAAGTGCGACGACGAACATTTTCTCATTGGCCACATGCTTCACCAGAATTTATTGATCAAATGAATCAAGCTGGATTTTTTGGATGTAACGTTGATGATCGTGTTGTATGTATTGATTGTGGCCTTATGTGTCACCAATGGATACCAAATAATGATGATCCATGTGAGATTCATAGAGCTATTTCACCTAATTGCCGATATGTACAATCAAAATTGATGAACTACCAACCACCACCACCTCCGCCCCGACCTGTAATAAATACTGATCTCAGTCCAACAGTAAATGTAACCCAATCTCCCACAAATGTCTCATCTCCTATCAATTTAACTGAATATGAGATAGTCGCCAAAGCATCTCCTAACTCTCAATACAATGAATTGATTAAACGAGTAAAATCATTTGATAACTACCCTTATAGAAACTTCGTATCCGTTGATAATCTTGCTCAAGCTGGATTCTTTTATAGTGGTACGAAAGATATGGTCACCTGTTTTTATTGCAATAGATCATTAGAAGGTTGGAACTTACGTAATGATCCTATGAATGAACATTTACGAAGGTCTCCTCATTGTTCTTATGCACGTCAATTATGTGGTGAGGATAATGTGTACCGAAATGGTGTGAGATCTCAACGTCCACAACTAGGTTTTCTCAGAATTTAATATTTTTTATCGATGAATTTATTTATTTTTTCTATATTTAGAGCAACACAGAATTAATCAATGGGCTACAATAAATCATAACAGTAGATCCAGTACGAATATTTTGGCTATTAATCGTCTAGCAGCTCTACCTAATGCTGATGATACAATAAAACGTATGGTCACTGCTCGATTAGATTTACCCATGTCACAGCGATTAGCAGGGATTTTTGGAGCATCAATTGTTAGACAATGTTGGGAAGATCAGTTACGAATCAAAGGTATAATGCACGAATTTTAGTTTGATAATATTTCTATTTGAAATTTTTTTAGACGAAGATTTTGTTTCTGAATTTGATCTTTATATGGCTTGTAGAATTCTTCAGAAAAAAAATCAATATATTAATAGTAACAGACCTGGAAATATTGTTATACCAAGCGTTAGAATGAGACAACTACAACTGGAAAAAATGCGAGGTATTGTTGTTATTTTATTATCTTCTTAGCTACTTTAATCTTTTTCATAATAGATAACATTAGATCACTATCTACTCGTCTTAAAACAATACAATCAACAGTAACTGGTACTCAGGCACAAGAGTTACCAAGTAACTTAATACCATCCAATCCTTGTGTTCTTTGCTTGACGGAAGAAAAACGACTTGCTTGTATACCTTGTGGTCATTTAGCCACATGTGTTCCATGTGGTCATTCATTAAGATCATGTCCAATATGTCAGCGTGAAATTGAAGCATTTGTCCGAATATACCTTTAAAAAAACTGAACATGATTTTAATCGAACGATACATATTCTTCGAAGATAACGATGTTCGATATGAATATATAATGTTCACTTCGTATCGACATACCTTATAAACACAACAAATCTTTATCAACTTTCGTTGAAAATACTTTATTGGCAATACGTCCGAACAGTGATTTTATTTGTGAAGACTTTCAAAGTTTTAGTTTTGTTAAATTTTTCTAAAAAAAATGTTATTTTTTCTAGAATAGATTTTATTTTAGTTTAAAGTTCCAATCATAAAATTCTTTCATTTCTTTCTCTACAGTATCTACTAACAGTTTTTTCTTTCCATTTCTTCAAACACTAATATAATACTAATGGTGATTATGCAGAAAAATTTATTTTTTATACTATTCTTTTTATTTTGTCAAACAATGTACCTCGGTGATAAAACTCGAATTAATAAATTTTTAGAAATAAATGAAATGAAAAAACTAAAAATTGCTTTTTAATCATTGATATCATTTAGATTTAATTTAATCCTAATTTCATATATAGATTGAGTGAAACAACATTTTTCATATATATGATAAAAGATCTTTTTTTGTTTATTGAAGATAATGTAGGAGCGTTGATAGTTGTTTATAAACTAAGAATTCTTGTTTATTTATTCATTAATGATTCTATTGAATTAACTCTGTAACGTTGTTTTTTGCGTTTTATTAATCGTTGAAAATAAATTAATAAATATTGGATTAAAGTCGGATTTATTTTCTAATATGAATAATTATATTGTTAATACTTCTTAACATTTTTTCATCGAATATTGAATTTAATAGAATTAAAAATCATTTTCAGCTTTTATTAAATATTTTATAATGTTTTTTCAAAAAGAAAGAATTCATTTATTGACATGTTGATGAGAATGTAAGGACTATATAGAAATATATTTTCAATTTAAAGTTCTTTTATAATTTTAAAGAGAATATTGAGAAGATTTTTAATAATTATCCTTTCTTAACTTTATTTCTTACTTCGAACATTGTTTTTTTCATTTAAAATTTATTTAAAATAATAAAAAGAAACTCATCTGTTTCCTCTCCCAAGAATTTTATTGATGACTTGATTATTATGAATTTTTCATTATTCATTGAGAGACAATATCTATTTTCATTTGTTTTTCACATTAAATATCTAAGGTATTTTATTTCTAATAAAAGTTCCGTTTCGATGTTTCTATTAGAAAGACTTGTACAATAAAAGTAGATAGTAAGATAGAAAGGTCTTTATTATATTCTATTTTTTATATAAATAATTCTTAATCAAATTTTCTTCAATCATTTAAAATATGTGAACATTTTAATCTTTCTATATCTATGACATATTCACTTAATTCTATTCCTTTTTCAATTTATTTCTCACGAAATATTTGTGAGTGAAAAACAAAAATGAAGATATCTTTATCCTATCTTGTTCAATTAAAAAACTGGAAATTAATTCGTAAATGTAAATATCTTTCATTTCCTACAAATTTTAGTTTTTGAAATAATTCCCAAAATAAATTTCAAATTTGTAGATAATCAATTGCAACTATAAAGTTCTAAATAGATATTTTTAAGTTCAATTAAAAATAATATATAGATTTCATATATATTTTGTCTACTATCTATATTACGAATTTGAGATCTTTAACAATTATTTGACTTTTGTAAAGTCAGCAGAAAAGTTTCAGTGTAATTGAAAAAATCTTGAATACAATTAAACACTTCAAAATATAAAGATTAATTGATGACGCATAAAAAAACAATAAGTTTTATTTGTAAATATTTAAAAATCTTGTTTTTTGATAAGGTGCGAACAATGCAAAATGACAGTGGATTTTGTTTTTCGTTCGTTTATATATGGTTTGATAGAGAATGAAACGCTGATCACGAATATATATAAATTTTTCCGATTTGATCGCTGTTTGGCTGAGAAAAACGCTAAACAAGTTCAATGACTAAAATGTCGTTATATGTAATTTTATCTCTTTTCCTTTACTAAAGTTGTTAAATTTTAAGATCATTTACGATGTTAAATATTTTTTTAAACATCATATTCTGAATCAGCATCAAAAACTAAATCAGAAAACGCTATTTGATCAGATTTAAAGTCAAAAAAAAATTTAAAATTTTTGTCTAACATTTATACCCATATATACTCAAAAAGTACATATTTTTGACTAATCGTATAAGTCTATCTAGTTTTTTGTATTAAGAGATAGAAACAACTGTCATATCTCATTAGAACCGCCAGATCGTGGGCTACAAAAGTACTTATTTAGTTTTTCTAAATTTTCTTTAAGTGCTGAGAAAA